TTGTGTGAACTGTTGTGTTTAATTCTTTTCCGTTTCTATGTAATCATTATGGTCCAATCTGTAATATTGTTATATACTTTCTTCTAGTTTTAAAATTTGTAACTGTAACATGTGTTGCGTAAATAAACTACTATTAAGTAAAATAAAAAATATATTTCTTGTTTGAGTAAATTATTTACAAGTATGTTAACGAGAGTCTATAACTAGCTTCGCTTTTAGCACTGGCTAAATCTATATATTATAATTAGGGTTATAGGTGTTAACAAGCGAACTGAAGACATGTGGCCGGCCTGCATACCGTGATGCACGTGCGCGCTCTCATCAAGTAAGATTTCTCTATACTTTCTTGTAACTAGAAAAATACGACTTTCATGTACTATTTAACAGACATTGATCTGGAAGAAGTCGTTTTGTCTACTGATGATGGTATTTACTTTATGTGAGACTCGCTGGAGTAACAGTAACATTAACAATATCTTTTTTTGTGCGTTACTCTACATATGAAGGTGTCGGTCTGTTTACGATAAAGGTCTTTTACATTTAAGTAACAATAACGTTTAACTAATGATGTACGCACACTAAAATCATCAAAGACTTTCTATCAAGTTACATTTTCAGTCGAATTCTTGAAAACCTCTTTTTGAACGTAAGATTACTAAATTTGACTATAGAGTTATAGAGTTCTCATGGAAGCTTGATTTTTTGGGTGTATTGTTTTTTGTTGTATGTAATCTGTCCCGGTACTTTGTCTTTAATAGGGACCGTGTACCCTCGACCATTTTTTCTTGCAAACAAATTCAGATCAGGCAAAACATTTCCTTAATCTTCATGCATTAGAAGGTTAAGGTTATTGTTGGTTGTGTTACGTGTTAAGCTATGAAATCAGCGAGGTCATCAGCGCGTTAATTAAGAAGGATTCAGAAGTTCCACGTTACGCTCTAAATTTCGAAGCCGAATTGATATTAAATTTAACATTACAGCTGCATGCAAAAAAAGTCCTCCATTTGTTAAATAGCTTTCTTCCTTTACATCATGGCTCCCACATTTCCCATACATTCAACAATATTCATCTGGCACGAAACTTATTATGAAAACAAATATAATTACGGCTTTTTATGGTCTTTTATAAACTCTTTCTCTCTCAGCAGCGTCTTGCAGATAAATCTAACGCGGGAGTGGCCTATCAGCGCGCTCTCATCAAGTAAGATTTCTCTATACTTTCTTGTAACTAGAAAAATACGACTTTCATGTACTATTTAACAGACATTGATCTGGAAGAAGTCGTTTTGTCTACTGATGATGGTATTTACTTTATGTGAGACTCGCTGGAGTAACAGTAACATTAACAATATCTTTTTTTGTGCGTTACTCTACATATGAAGGTGTCGGTCTGTTTACGATAAAGGTCTTTTACATTTAAGTAACAATAACGTTTAACTAATGATGTACGCACACTAAAATCATCAAAGACTTTCTATCAAGTTACATTTTCAGTCGAATTCTTGAAAACCTCTTTTTGAACGTAAGATTACTAAATTTGACTATTATTTTACAAGAATTATTGTCTGCTGTTAATCAATATTTTATTCTGTCGTGGGCAGTAAGATTCACAAAAGCAACATCCTTGCTTAAAATTTAATTAATTAACTCCTTTCGCAACACATCGTGCCCATTGCAAAACATCAAGAAGTGTTGTTCATGTCCGCTTTGGTTTTGTTTGCAAACCAAGCATGTTCTGTCTTCTACAGTTATGGGAACGCCGCAGATTTCATATTTTTCAGTTCGTATCCGTGTTGAACTTGAGGAAACACAATTTTGGTCATTGAGCCAATCTTGGGAGCTGCTGGCTGAGAACCGCAGGGCAGTTCTCCCACGCATGCGCGGAGAAGGCAGACGAGAAGTTACCCCTTGCTTTTAGTTTGTCCACGTCACACTCCCAATATATGATGCAAATTCTCACACACTAGTCTAGATTTGCTGATACGGTCAGGCCAAGTAAAAAAATGTTTCTCGTCCGGAGAGTGAGCGAGCACGCGCAAGAAGAGTGTAGTGAATTCTGTTTACTTGAAAGAGCGCCACGGCGATTATTGTTTTTCGACTTTAAGTTGCGAAAGTTATTTGAGGGCTGCGCTCTTTAGATTAAATCACGGCAATTCGAAAGGGTGCCGCGGAACTTATTTGTGTCCGACTAACACCCACTTTAACACACACACTTTATTATTATCAACAATCTACATTTACATAAAGTCCATTTCAGCCTGCAAATAGCAGGTGCTAGTCGAGGCGGGCGGAGATAATTGGTACAGCAGTCAGTAATAAATTAGAAATAAATAAATATAAGCCAATTATTTCAATGTATTTTGCCATGTAACTTTAAAAAATCATATCTCTGGTGTTATTTACAGTTCAATATCAAGCTATACCTCATTGGAAAGGGAAAAGAATACCCTTTCGAAAAAAAAATATTTCGGTCATAGGAAACCCATAATATTCCGCCACAAAAAAATTAAAAAAGCATATTTTGCATAAAAATTTTTTAAAATTTTAAAGAATGTCATTTAGCTAGGAAACTTCTTTATTTTGGGTGATATGGTAGCAAGAAATATTTTTCATCAATATGTAAGTAAAAAAACCCGAAAATCGTTCTAAAATATGGAGCGACTAGAAATTTTCTACAAATTTTTTTCTGCACGCTGTCATGATTATGCTAATTGGATTATCATAATTAGCATAATCCTTTGGCGTCACCTCGTGACCCCATGTTTACTTCACTGAGACGCTTTGTTTCCTCGATTCCCAAAAAAATATCGAGTTAGGGACAAGCAGACATGAATTTGCTGATAGAATTCATCAAAATAAGCAAGAATTTGACAGCGAAAAGCGAAGCGAAGGCAAAACGGGAAGGAAATCGTCGCCGTTTCAAGAACATGTGGCACAGAGTGGGCGATCGGCGATTTGCATGCACAGATTCTAATTGTTTCCTAACCTCGATTTTCGCGTTTATTTTGCTTGTTATCCTCCAAAATCCTTCAGAATAGTTTGTTTGACTTGTATTTGGTTGACATTCGTCGATACAAGCTTTCATTATTCGCAAAACCGGCTCACAAAGATTCCCCGCGACTCGCCATAAAATTCAAAATTTTCGAAAACCCGGTGTGTGACGGTCAAAAGTCGACAGGGGCTGGAACTAGGCAGGTGATTGGCTAAATCTATTAACTTCCTGTGTGCCAAATTTGGGAGCAATCGGAAGTAACACAATTTTTTGCGAAATTTCTTTGGTCACCGTTCCTGAAGCTCCGATTTCGGTGACCCCGGAAGACGAAGTGTTAAACATAAATTTATAACATTTACAAAATCAACTACTTGAAACTCCTAAGATTAACTGCGGCACTAAATTAAGATATGTATACTTTATAAATTAAACAGAATGGGCGATTTAAAGCGGTAATCTTTCGAGAAATATACGGTTTTGATAGCATTTTAGGTTTCTATTACATTTGTGGTCAATTATTGCATTTGTCACTTGTTTACCTTCTATTGATAAATGGTACCCCTTTCACATACCAAGTTTAGAACTTTGTATCCCTTCGAACTGCTGTAAATGCACTGTCTTTTAAATGTGAACAAATCAGAAAGCCAGAAAGCTTTTACGCGCCGACTCTCTCACAGACATAATGCATCTTTCAGCTCTTTTGGACCTTGTTACGGACCGAAATGACAAATCTCCCTACCTTTTCATTTACTTCAGCTAGTGAAATCCTTACCCTTTCATATACCTGCATATTCCATTTCTCTAGTACGTTTAAGAGCCGGCCTCCCCTAGACACACATGCTCCACCCTCCTTGTTTCCTTTGAGATTATTGTTTAACACTTACTCCTAAGTTAAGTACAAACTGGTTGGTTTTCATTTGGGTAGATTTAAATGTTGAACAAAACTCAGGACTAGTTTACAGGGATAGAAATAATTCCTGGAGAGTCTCCAGACACAGTGACCAGCCAAATTCACTTAAGCTCAGTCACGTATCATTTCTGGCCGGTCATGTAATTAAATTATGCATAAAATTAGGGATAAAATTTTAGATAATTTTTTAAATGGGAGACAGATCAAGAATATGTACATTCCTCTCTCTAACGTTCCAAGTAATACACCATTGTCAAAAACACTGTGTAACATGATGTCTCCTGTTTGACTTTTTAAAAGCTTAAAGCTGAATTATGCCGCATCTTTGATGACAACGACATCCCCACAAAAGTTAGAGAAAAGTACCAGAAGTGGCAGAGAAGGTAAATATAAGTTTTTTCATCAATTACCACAAGATAATATACAAGATTTTGAATAAAATTATTGTGCATTAATTCCACCAGGCCAATTACAGTTACAGTTTTCGACTAATTAAAGCACACCAAGATTATCTAAAATGATACACATTTGATTACATAATTACCTTATTTATTTGAATAAAGTGTAATGGGGCTCGTTTCTCGAAAGACCCCAAAAACCTTTTCGGGCCTGAAGGCAAATTTCAAAATTTAAACCTGTTGAATAGGAGCACAGTTCCTATGCTAGTTTCATTGTAGTATTTTCAAAATTACTGAAACTTTGATCTTGAATGTAAACACAAAAAACACAAAACAACTTTCCGGGCCCGAAAAGTTACCAGAACTGTCAAGACTTAGACCCCTTGGTGCTTATTTAAAAATCTCCCTTGAGAGGGGGCAGTCATTTGTGGTGGGTGCTTATTAAATTTTCACCATTTGCAGCGAAAAGTTACATGTAGTCTGTTTTGTGGAAAAACAATGAATTAATTAAATAAATAAATTTGTCAAACAATGAATCTAATCTACAGGTTTAAAGCCAGAAAAAGAAATAATATTTGATACTCCTCTTGTGTAATTCAGTATTTTTTAATTTGTCCGGTGGGAGGGGGTGTGTGCTTATTAAATTTTTCTACCAGGTGTGTTTTAATAATAATTTTTTTTCTTTATTTAAATGTCAGAAATGAAAAGCCGGGCATCCTTCTTGGTGATAAACAAGGTTCTGCGGAGTCGCGGCGGCAGGAAGAAAGGAACCCAGGAGGAAGTTGTCAGTATCATAGAGGTAGGAAACTTGGAAATAAAGTTCTCAAACTCATTAATTATTCATAAAGAGAAAATCACAACCATGACACTTAGTGGTTTGGATATTGGATACTAATTACCAAAACATTCTGCGAATTTCATCTTTGATTTTTTTCCCAAGAATTCTTGTTCTTTTGAGAAGGTAAATCAAAAACTCCACTCTGCACTCTAAATCCAAAAGATCTGTTTTAGCCCCAAAGTGCTGATTCAGCTCTATAGGCCCTGGAGCTGATTTGACCCTTCGTGGAGCCATTTTGTCAATTTGGTCTAAATCGACCCCAATAAAGACCATTGCAGCCCCATCGAAAACCGTTTTGGCCCACAGGAGAAATTGTTTCAGCCATGTGATGCGTATCGGCCCCTTTCACAAGAGCCATTTCTACTCAAAAAATAGAGACATTTCAGGTTTTAGTCTAGTTGGCCCCTATTTAGGGCTGACTTGGCCTATACTAATAGAGCTGTTTAGACCCCATGATAACGCAAAATGGCTCGACCACTAGAACCAACACCGATTTGAAGAATATATGTTAATCTTATCGGTGTCTAGTCGGAAGCATTAGTTCCTAATCACTGAGTACGGGCCGCTTTATCTTTATTATCGAGAGCTTCGATAAAGGGTTTGTAGGTCGAAAGAGCAAGTTATAAGACATGGTTAGAGGCAAACAAGTTTACACAAGCAAGGTACGAAGAGCCCACAGGTAAGTCGTCTTGAGTCACCACGATTTCTTAAATGGCGCATATTGGACCGAAGATCGTTGTTCTGAATCTGTCCATTTTAATATAGATGATTTTCTAGACGGAGACAGGAGCCCATCATGGAGATGATCATGATACTATGGTTACAGTGTATGAGGACGACAAAGAATGCCGTTTTTATTTTCCCTATTTTAAGGAAGGATTAAAATTTAAGAGGATAGTAAAGGCAGAGGCCGAGGAAAACCAGGTAAGAACATTTTATAGGTTATTGTAATTAATTTTGCTTTCCCGCCAAGATTTAATGATAGCGCGGGGTTTGGATACGAAAACATACACGTCACTCCCATAAATTCTTGCACACTACCAAAGTGCGCGCGCATGTTTAAAATGTTTAGGCGGGCTTCCATTCAATTCAACGGTCAGGTCAACGGACGCTCAATATTTTAAGCGAATTTCAGTTTGATTTTCGCTAAACTCGGCGATTTTACTCCAAGCGAGAGATAGATCGTAGTCTAGATAGAAGATTCTTATCAAGATAATTGCCGTGTTTTGTCTCATTTGTTTCGTAAAGGATCGAAGGATGACATCGCCGTTTGAAAGGTTTGTCATGTACAGTGCTACATTATATAAAACTGATTGAATGAATTTTAATACACAACAATTCCAGACTATTTTGGAATCAAACAAGTTTTGCAGATAACAGTTTGTACTTAAGTGCTAAATAGATCAGCAAATTTCGTGAGTTTCCATGCCCTGGACATAGTTGAAGAAAGGCAATTTTGTTTACTCAGCTGCATCTTTTGACCTCAACTAGCCTTCAAATCAGTTCCAATAATATATTTCAAGTTTCTTTATTTTTCCACAAATTTTTAATAGAATGTTTGGCTGCTACATTTACATGTACATAGTAAGTGATCAAGGTATATATTCCAGTTAGGTGCGAAGCTTTATGCTGAGGAATCCTTTCTGTTAGGCATTGATTGATCACTTTACAGTACAGTGTAATGCTTATGAAAAATGATCAATGGTACATTTCTATTTTTTTTTTTTCTCAAATAACGATTTGGTAAGGTGATCAAGGTATGTTCCAGTTAGGTGCGAAGCTTTGATGCTGAGGAATCCTAATTCTAGGCATTGATTGATCACTTTTATACAGTAGACATGAAGCTTTGAATAAAAATAAGGTTCATCGTCATTTGGTTTTCTTGTCAAGATCTACAGATGCATGTGGGGGTCATTTGTGTGCAAATTTACATGTTTCCTCTAGAAAGTTTTGTATGTTTATGCGTGACTGGGAACTTGTAGGCAGTATACAGTGTTGATGTTACCACTGCTACATTAAAACTGATAGAGTGAATTACAACAATTTCAGACTAGTTTAACATCAAACCAGTTTTGCAGATAACAGTTTGTAATTAAGTAATAAATAAATCAGCAACTTCACGAGTTTCCACGGACATAGTCGAAGAAAGACAATTTTGTTTTGACAGCTGCATCTTTTGACCTCAACTGCAAATCAGTTCCGATAATATTTCAAGTTTCTATATTTTTCCACAAATTTTTAATAGAATGTTTGGCTGCTACATGTACATGTACATAGTAAGTGATCAAGGTATATGCCAGTTAGGTGCGAAGTTTGATGTTGAGGAATCCTTTCTGTTAGGCATTGATTGATCACTTTACAGTACAGTGCAATGCTTAAAATGATCAATGGTACATTTCTATTTTTTTTCCTCACATAACGATTTAGTAAGGTGATCAAGGTACTGCATATTCCAGTTAGGTGCGAAGCTTCATGCTATGAAATCCTAAAATTTTCTAGGCATTTATTGATCACTTTACAGTTAGAATCAAAGCTCAGAGTAAAAATAAGATTCCTTGTCATTTGGTTGTCTTATTAAGGAGTCTTTAATTTTGTGTACAAATTTACATTTTTCCTCCAGAAAGGTTTGTATGTTCATGCATGACTGGGAACTTGTAGGCAAATTTTGGCATCACAGATTTTATTTAAGTTTTCTGTGTGGTTGTTTGAGAAGACAGGAGTAAAAAGGAGACAAAGTGAAAGGAGAAAAGGCAGAAAACTATAAAAAAAGAAAGCAAATCTTATAACTAAAACTAATCATTTGCTGGAAATGACAAAAAGAATCAGTGACCTTAAGACCAAGTGTAGTGCCAGTGAAAGCACTTTGGATTCAAATACATGTAATAAAGCAATGGGAATTTTGAAACATAAATATTGAACTCTGAAAAAATTACATATTAGTGTCTCACAGAAAATTAAAAGTAGTTAAAGAAATGAAGCAACACTAACTCGTAGTTATGAAGACAGCTACAACAATGACATCATATTAGGTCGGAGAAAGTGTGATGTTTTTAAGCTGTTGTCTTTGACACTAAGTGGGGCATCAGTTAACGTCGCAGTTATTCTGAATTGACACTAAAACAGGGTTCTCCTTAAATTTTAGCTCAGCAGGTAAGGGACCATTTATGGGCGGTAAGGCAAAAAATGCTCCAGAGGCGCACTTTCCTAGGAGAAATGGGGGAAGAGGGTAGTGAAGTGAGGGACATGACCCTGCCCTCGCTGAGAAATTTAGGAGCTAAGGTCTCTGAAATGTCATTCCTTCATTTGAAGACCTATTTCAAGCAAATCAGTTGCTGTTATCTTTAGACATCAATATGTCAAAATGTTTGATTCCAGTATGTTTTTTGGTCCATAAAAAGAAAAGCTGTGCATACTTTAGTACTTTGGCACATATTCATTCATTTCTTTGATCGGATCCGATCGCTACTTGCGCATTTTTTAAACTTACAATATTTATTTTTAATAACCCTTCAGCTGTTGCAGGCGGTGAGAACTGTTGCTTCAGGCAGTACATTTTAACAGTTACCGCTTGATAAGGAGAACACTGTAAAAGAAGCTGTTATTGATGAAGCCAATCTTTTGTCGTGCATCTATCATAAGGCATTCCCCTTTTTTTGGTGTGTGTTTTTTGGAGGGTTGCATAACATGCTCATACTAGTCTAGAGGCTTGTGGAATGACAGGAAATCAAACACTCAGTTACCATTTTTAGAGAGCTCTGTTAAACTGGAAGTAGATGTGTCACTGACACATTATGGTTACACATTTTAATGCTTTGTTGTAAGGGATTTTACATATGACATTAAAGGTGATAATAATTTTTTATCTCGATTTCCAAAAGGTGTAACTTGGATGATTGGCAACCTAAAATAATAGTCTTTAATAAAGCATGCAAAATAGAATCATTGAGAGTCAAAATTCCTGCAAGCGAAAGAAGTTGACTCAAATCATGTCATATGCATATTGATCTAGCTCTGTATGATGGAAAATATCCCCCTTGCTCAGCCTCAGATGTCTTGAGCTTTGGGTATACATGCATGGTTAGGGAAATTTGCCAAAACAAACAGGTCAGAATTATTATTGTATCTACCTGTATGAGCAAGTATTAGGGACTGACCAACATTTGATATACTGCTGGGGGACCTAAAGAATGTTGTTACTATGTAATGCTGATTGTAATACGTTACAGGTCAAAGTTGGTTACAGGTTAATTTTGATTTAATCTTGGTTGATTCTCAATTTCCTTTGTTTCCTAGCCCTAATTCATGAAAAATTATGGCTAGGAGACAAAGAATATTTTTACAATACTGCAGGAGTGGTCATGTGACAGTTTTGTAACATAAGATAATAGTTTTTATCGTATGAATTAATAAAGACTATTATTATTATTGTTATTATTATTATTATTATTATTACAGTGAAACCTCTATTAAGCGGACCCCCAGTTAAGCAGACACCCTCTATTAAGCAGACACTAAGCCGGGTCCTGAAATTAATGCTTTATAGTTTCCTTTATAACGAACCCCTATTCAGCGGACACCTCTATTAAGCGGACGTGGACACTAAGATAAGGTGTATTTTGCTAATTTCTATTGTTAAAAGCCTCTATTAAGCAGACACCGTACTGAATTAATAATAGTAGTATTGGATTACGTCCTTGAAATACGGACTGAAGTCAGTTAATGTTTTCGCATTTACAAACAAACAATTAAAGTAGGTAATGAAAGGTAATGAACTTGAATGGCTTCTTTAACAACATGCAACTTTATCACAGTACAGAGTAACCGTTAAATGTTGATCGTTAACAAACATTGCGCAATTTTTACAAACTCTATTAAGCAGACACTTGGGAAGGTCCCGAAGGTGTCCGCTTACTAGAGGTTTCACTGTATTATTATTATTATTGCTACTGAGTCAGACTTGCATGTATTAAAAGACTTTCATCTGTAATGTTATTGACTACTGGGTAAATTCATAGCTTAAACTGCTTAAAGCTTACATGTACATTATTGCAACTCTATTTTAGGTGGCCATGTTACTTCCTATGATTAGCAGAGTTATGTAAAATTTGCATTTCTAGTTCTTGATAGATGATAACCATTCATTGTATTACACTACTTAACCACAGCTATCAAGAACAGTATTTTTCCCTTTTTGTCAATGTAAATTATCTTGTTTATTATTGCCACATGTAGTTTAATTTGGGAAACTGTATGTTAGTAAGTGTACAACTTGTTGATGTTGTTCTTTCTTGCTTTTTTGACAGAGAAATGCTTCAGTTGATGCAGAAATAGCAACTTTCATATAACCGCAAACTGTTGCAATTGAAGAGGCCTTTGATTTCAACAAAGTGTACATTGTGTGTGACGGAATAATGTTATGCACCATTCTGCACCAGAGTATTGTAGAGAGTATAATTTCTTTGCTGTCATCATTTTATATAGTTAACATGGTAATGGTATATAAAGGTCATTCAGACCTTGTCGAGTGTCAACACACTCTTCAATGGCATTTTCAATTTGTAGTAGTGAAATGTATAGAGAAAAGCTCTACTAACTTAACAGAACAAATTTTTGCCTTCTTTTTCATACTTTTACGATTTGGGGGTTAAAACGTCTCAAGCAAAATGCCTTTAAAATGCTCAAAGGCTCCTAAGAAGTTATACTCACTTCTACTGTGATCATTACAGCTGTATGTAGTGCTTAAAATTCAGCACCAACCCCTCTATTTTGAGCCTAATGAACTTCTTGGCAACCTTGAGAGTTTTAATTTAGCAGGGTTCTGCTGAGTCACTTTCTGACATTATTTTTATGAAATTTGGTATTGGGGCTTCCAGCAGTATTTTATAAAGTTATCTTAGAGATGTACATTCCAAACACGGCAAGAAAACCCTCATTTACCAATAATTTTACAAAACGGTAAATCCTAGAAAATTCGGCATTCACCATCTGTTTTCCCACTCCTGAAAACATCCCGAAAATTGCTAATTTTCCTTGTGTGAATCCAAGGAAAATTGGGAGTTAACTTGGCGTTTTCCTGCACTTGAAAATCTCAGGCAAACACCGTATTTTACAAGGCGTTTACATGTATTTTCCAGACCAGGTGAACGCGCAGTTTGTGCGGCATTTTCCTACTGTATTTGTTAACAGTTAACGCAAGGAAAACATGTCATTAACCTACGGTTTTCCACCTCTAGAAAAACATCGACGAACATGTTGTTTTCTAAGCGTTTTCTGTTGTTTTCCGCGGTGGCCAAACGTAGAGTTTTTCGCGGGTTTTCATTTGACAACAAAACATAAGAAAAACATGACGTTCATTTGCCATTATCCTTCCAGTGATAATGCTGCGTTAGCTCCCCGTTTTCCTTAGTAGGTGAATGCGGTGTTTTCTAACCGTACCTGTTAACGGTTAACTCGAGGAAAACATCATCAGGGACACAGAAAACGTGGGTCTCGCGAAAAGTTTGGCCCGATTTCGAAGATCTCAGAAGCGTTTGTGATGCCTGTCTCGAAGTCTCGTTTTCAGGTGACTCCGTGCGTTTCGGAGTTTTTAAATCACGGCCTCGAATTTTAAAACCAGGGTTTCTCAGTCTCGCAGTCTCCAATTTACAATTCTTTACCATTATCATCAGGGGCACCCAACGGCAATTTTCGGGAAAATATCTGTTCGGAAGACGATTTGAGATCTAGAATTTTCGGAGCATTTGTTATAAAATTTCTTGCTTGCCTGCCTCTCCTAGGATTTTCGAACATCTACAAAATGGTATAATTACTCATTTTTAACGGATTTTGACCCTAAAAAAGGCCACCTAGAATTTTCGGGAGCCTTTTCCTGGCTGAAATTTTCGAGAAGGTAAGTATTTATCCCTATAATTTTCGGATCACTAGATTTTCAGCTAGGAAATCCGAACAGATGAAACGTTTTTAGGGGATAAAAATATGCCTATATCTACCGTTTGAATACTAATATACGTTCAATAATGCTATGTTAAGTGGTTTTGAACTATATCCTCGTTGGGTGCCCCTGTATCATCGATCAGGTTCCAGCGTGAACCGAGATCGAACCACCTCGATCTACCGAGCCGTTTTCTGCAACCCGTATACCGACTTCTGGTCACTTCTGTAACTTACCATTACGAGAGACCGTTGTGATCATCAAAATGCCAGTCTATTAAACCTTATTACAGAATGCAGCATTCAGAAAGCGGACTTGTTAATAATTTGTAATGGTAACAGGACTGAGTGGAGTCCAATTCGGTCTGTAATCATACGAGTGATTAACAAAATCGGACGACCGCGTAGCGGGAGTCCGATTTGTTTAATCACAACAAAATTTGTGATATATAGGGCTCTTTTTAAATCAAAACACAAGAAATTCCAAGATTTTTTCGCTAGCAATGAAAAAAAAAAGCCATTTAAGCACGCGCGTGATGGCGCGTACTGTCGACCAATTACTTAGGCATGACGCGTACTGTCCTATTTAACTGTCCAATTAAGGCTGAAATCAGGGCAGTTGAGAACCAATCAGATTTGAGAATTTTGTTATAGTTATGATTAATAGCCAAATTGGGACGTTGCTGTAGACCCTGTGAACAGAAAGGACAACTTTTTTTCCCAGCTTATACAGGTTGTTTTAATTTTACTGGAAGGGAAATGGATTTGATGATATTTGCCTCAAATTCAAATCTAAGACAAATCTGATGTCAGATTTGTCCACCCAACAAATGTCGCAAATGTGAGACAAATCTGTTATTACACTTGTCTCGAAGAAATGTAGGACAAATGTGTTTCAAATATGCTATTATGTTTGCCCTTGTAAAAAGTTTTTTTAAAACAAGACAAATGTGACGAGTAAAAATTCTTTATCGTTAACTTTTCATTAAGTATAATCGCAATTTAATTTTCCAACAATTGTTTCGAAACGTCAGGGATACTCCCTGATTCCTTGTCTATCCGAAGACGACACGTTACTGAAGGACAAGTTATTAAGGGGAAAAGGAAAGAATCAGCTGTCAATGACCGACCTTGGTAACTATTTTGAGAATATTTTATTTGGAAAAAGTAAAGCTCCTCTTAATAAATTTAATGGCGGGACATTCTTGTTACGCTTTTTCAGTAGACAGTTAAGGCAGTTTGGGTATTCTTAATACTTTTCTGTTATTTAATCACTGAAGACAATTTGCTGTCTTGGTAAATATTGAATTGGATAGGATGGGGGTAATCATTGTATTTGTTAGTTCACTCCATGATCATTTTTTTGCCTTTTGGTTGTGACATCTAGCTGATAATGACCTTTGTAACATTAGGCACTGAGATAGCTGGCTTATTTAGGGTGTCATGGGCATGACTGGGTATTTGGTGATTCTGGTACGTTCAGTGATATCTGACAATGAATAGATTATTAATTGCCCATACATATTATCAGGTTTGGTAATGTACACTGGTCCTGATTCTATCCACGGGGTGGGTGAGATATGAAGGGTTGCATGGTAACTGTTTGGTTTGGGGTCACTTTGGCATTTTCTCATAATATTTCAGAATCTCTAGAGTAATTTGGTTGGCTTTACATTTTTTTGCATGCCTCTTGAACAGCATTAATGTACATTAAAGATATGTGATCTTAGACTAATAAGTTTAAGTTTAAGTCGACCTTCAGACTTAGTAGGAGTGGAGTAAATGTTTCAGACGATAAAAATACTATATTTCACTCTTTGACAGGAGACAATTCATTCTAAATAGGCACTTTGCAACACTTGAATAGCAAAATAATCAAGATGACCTACAGATATACAACAGGATCCTGACTTTGCAAACCCTTGTTTTTTTTTTATAACCTCCTGACAATTCAAACCAAAACTGACTACCTTTCCCCAAACCAGGGTACAAAGAAAATCATTTTTACAGCTTGCCATTCGGGCAAGCTTAAGCTAGCATTTACTAGCCAAGATGTCATTTCAACTAGCCCCAAAAACGTTTTGACTAGCAGAATTGATTTCATGGTTCTTCTGTTATTCGATCCTCAAAAAACATCACTTGCCCATTGGGCAAGTTTAAAGCAGAATTCACTAGCCCGATAGCAAAATCCACTAGCCCTGGGCTATCGGACACAGTACTTTCTTTGCACGCTGCCCCAAACACACACTTATCCTAAAACCAATTATTATTAATTGAATATTTTTCATTTTCTGCAAGAGGTTTGGCAGCTTTTGCACTATCCCTGAAAATAGAACACCTGAGTGCAGGTTAGCCCTTGGTCCCCCTAGAAGCTAGCCCTTGGCACTCATTTAGGAACTCGGTCAGTATTTATCCTACATGTGCATTGTAATCAAAATAAAAAATAGAACTAGAAACACTGTACAATCAAGAATTCTGGATAATTCGTGTCCAGATAATAGTTTTATTGAGGTTCAACTGTACCGTGTTTTCTTGGACAAATGAAAATTAAACAACAGAGGATGTCATCATTAACAAAAGTTCCCACTAATATTTTCCTAGATACTAGCAATGTTGAACTCAGCTTGTTACAGCGAGAACTTTTTCCCTCTTGTGAATTATTTCTCCAGATATACAGTGTGAACTGATTCTCTGAACTGGAATGAAACATGCAGGTCCAAACAAATCAAATGTATTACACCAGATTTCCAGGGGAAATCCAAATTCATAGCGATCTGGATGTTTTGAATACCAGTTCACTCTCGCAAAATAAAATTCATATTTCTGGACAGCTGAATTGGATGATACTGGTTTAGTCTTAATGCACTGACGGAAGAATGTGATGACTTTTCCAGGTCTTTGATCATCAGATCCTCTGCTTGTGGCTAATGATCCTTCTGTCCCTGCCCAGTTAGCCAGAATATAAGAATTTCTTGTAGTTTGGCTTTGCTGTGATCCATAAAGCACTGAACCAACTTTAATGGCTTTGAATTCTGAGATAGTAAATGGCATTTCGATGGAAGTCCTTGCATCAAGTCCCAGAAGCTCCTGATACACTACTTTAAGTGCATTTAGATCATCACTGTCCAGTGATTCATCTTTAGCAGGTGACACTGGAGAAATGCAACTGTTTGCTGTCCAGTCACAACTGCTCAAATCTTTAATAGATGCTTCCCTATGTTCTTGTAGACTAAGGTATTGTTCTAGTGGCTCCTGAGTTATCTTGACTGACCCTGAACCCTGACCATTCTCGAAAAATTCAGTAAAAGATTCTTGATACAATTCAGGGTACTTGAAGTTCTTAACTTTAGCTTGCATTAAAAATTTCCTCATTAACTGAATTTCAATTGAACGGTTATTAGTGTGAAAAGAGCCCAAAATGCCATTAAATCTTTCAAAACTAAAACACCAGAAAGAATGATGGTAATTGTTTTAATTGACCAAGAAGGTATACTGTACATCCTTCGCTGTTAGGACTGGAATAGAGGGGAGTAAAGTTTGTAATATTATACGGCTTCTATTTGCAAGTGTGTGATGTGTGTTTCTTTCTATGTAATTCATTTTCCAAAAGATTAACTGATTGTTACCCTACTACAGGGTTGTCACTAACATTTCAAGTTGCTGGGTAAATACAACAAGTAGGTGGGGAATCAAACGGCTAGGGATTTCTTTTGGTTCTATTTTTCTTCTATTTTCCAAAAAAATAAAAGTAGCTGGGGGCCACTCTCTTAATTAGTAGCCGGGGAAAATCCCAGGCCCCCGGCTCTTAATGACAACCCTGCTAGTAGTCATAAGCTGTTTCAGAGTCCTAACCGAACGCAACTACATAAGTTTAAGAGCAACAACTAACATCATTATCTCTCGCTCAGTGTTAATTTTTTACAACAGTGTTGGGGTTCAGATAATCAGTGTAAAAGTAGCTTTTGAGTTGCCATGTGATGTTTTGTGCAAAAAATTAGCTGAATTACTGAGTTTTTTTTTTTTTTTTCTTTCTCTCTCTCTCTCTCTTGTATGTAGAAGCTTGATAAAAGATTGAAAGCCGTCACTGAGGAGGAAAGGGATGGTGACCTGTTTTCAGCCCTTCATGTAAGCCTTGTGTCTTCAGAGGAGTCTGACACGGAAGATAATTCCTTGAGAACCAGGCCTCTGTCTTGGAGAACAGAGAATGTCAACAACTTTTTTAAACTTTTGGATGGAAGAGCAAAGGCAGCAATGACCTCCCAACAAAGGAGACAATCAGTTAGTCGAAGACAAGGTGTTGCCAGTGGAAGAGGGACAGACACTGTCCCAGAACATTTGCAATGGGCTGTGTGCGATTCCCCATAAGTCAGTAAATAAGTAAATAGGGAGCGTTTCTCAAAAAGTTGGAGCTGCCTTTAAAGGTTAAGTTGAAGTGACTATATAAAGCAGACTGAAGAGTAAAATGTAACAGCTCAGTCTTATTGATGTAGGCATAACTTATTTCAAAAAGAAATATGATTTTTTTAATGATTGTTATATTACTCAATCTGCAATCTTTGATTTCCTTAAGCAAATTTGTTTCCAAAAAATGAATTGTGAACAGCTTCTATTCTTTAAATATAAATAATTTTTTGCATCTTAGGAATTAACCGCATAATGTTTGTTACCCAGTATTCAGTTTGGTGTCAAAATTGATGTGCATCAGAACCATGAGTTCAAATCACAAACATCTTGTTTCTGTATAGTTACAGTTGTAAACACATAGCTTTAAAAGGTTCTTTAATACACTTTATTGTCACTTCATTATAAGGTATTAATGCAAGAACTAGATTTTGTTGGACTTTAGACTGTTTTTGTTTTTGTTTTTGCACTTCGCATAGAGTTCAGCCTGAGAGTTCTCAATGTAGAATGTTAGCCATGTTTTTCTTTAGTGTAAGCTAGGTTATAATTTTGAAGACCACATCTTCTGACAATTTCATTTATAGAATTAGACTGCGAGCACTGTAACACTAAGGGTATGATATGTATGCAATGCCATGTAAATAAATGTTCAGAATTTACAGTTCATATATTGGTTCTTTTCATCTGTGCACTCTTTATAAGTAAGTGGGAAGGAAACATTTTACTCCCTTGAGTTTTACACGCATTTACAAACAGTAATAACCAGAGGACCTCAATTGCGGGGTGGGAATTACGGAAAAGCTATGACATACAAGAGATTTTCCCTGTATGAATTAAATTAATACTGAATGTTACAACACCATTGAAAACACGGCAGGAAAAAGCAAATTGTTAAAACAAAAGCAATTTCCAAAGGAGATATAACGGGAAACGCGGGAAAATTTTGCGTTTTCCTAACTTCACACGAATTTTCTGTACTTGAGAACGCCAGAAAACTAGTAGAAAACGACCGCTAACGCTGGAATACAATCCGTTTTCCATGCCTGAACTTATCAGTGAATGCTGGAAAACGCGAGTTTTCTTGAATTTACTTGAATTCTCTGTCACGGAAAATGAAAGAAAACGCAAGAAAACTGCTTGCAAAAGTCGGAATAACGCGCAGTTTTCCTAACGGTAAGCGATCGGTAAACGCTGGAATACATGCGATTTTCCTGGATTCAGCGGTATTCACCGTTTCGGAAAACGCCGGAAAACGTCCGCAAAAGGCAGGATTTCACTCGTTAACTGCGGTGAACTCGAGGTTTTCCCGTCTGAAAACTCAGGGTAAATGCCGGAATACAAGACGTTCACCGAGTGTTAACCGATCGGTGAACGTCAGCAAACGCATGTTTACCGGCGTTCACTGAATAGGAAAACTGATGGATAATGGAACGAATACTCGAATTAACCGGAGTGAAAACGTTTGGAAAACGAAGGATTTTCCGCTTGGTGAATCTCAGATAATGCGGGTAAATTGCGCATTCTTCGTTAATTCACCGCGCGTTTTCTCAGTGGGAAAATGCCACTTTTTTTGCCGTGAAATTTTTGTTAAGTTTGCTAAAAAATAATAATAATAAAATATTTTTACATTGCACTGAGCATGCCTCTTGTGTATTTTAAATGAGAGGGCAAGGTAATGAGATTAGATCTACCACAAAATTAGAACACTTTTAGGGTAAATAGCTGTTAATTGTAGGCTCAAAGAGTAGTTTTAAACTTACTTGCACCTGAAGGAGAACTAAAGTTTATTTTCCTTTGGGCTATAGTTAGGCCTTGATTCTAAATGGCCCAAAAATGGGGTCATTTTATAGAATACCAAGAACCATTATAATCCCTGTGGATGGGCTGTTATAAATAATTAAGGTCCAAAACGGCTCTGGTAAGAAATTCCATTTCAGACATAATGGTACCGATTTAGTCATAGAAAGTACATTTGTTTTAACTCCCCATTGGGTCAAATTGGCCACGAAATATGGGCCAATTTTCATCTTAACTGAAGGTATGAAACGGCCCTGTAAGGGATGAATTGACTCTTAAAATGAACCACTTCAACCCTATTAGAAACCAAAACTACTCCCTATTTTTCCAAAACAGCCCTTTTGCCTCTTTGTTGTGGCCACTTAACAGAGGGCTATTTCTACCCCGTTCATTGGGGCCAAAACGTCTCCATTCTAAATGGGCTACTTTAGCCCCAAAAATAGTACTGTATTTTACTCACCGAAACGGCCCCATTTTTGGGGCCAAAACAGATCTTTTGGATTTAGAGTGTGTGTTTAGTCCAAAATCCAGATATCTCAAAGTCAGCTGTGCCTCATTCTTTAACCCGTGATTATTCCTGATATTGTGGTATGAAAATACTATAGGGTCGCCAGTGATAAACATAATTGCAACAAACAAAATACAGTATATTGCACATGTATACTTGTAATCTGAAATGAAATACCACATTTATTCCCTAAGTGCCCTAAGCTTTAATAATTAAACTCTTTCTCAAGGTCTACAAATATTAGACCTTGAGAGTGGGTGCTTATTAACTTTTTCTACCTTTAGGACAGGAGCTTACTTAAATAAATTTGATAAGCCATTTATTTTGTGACAAAATTATTAACAGTACAATAATGTAGGTGTATTGTTTAAAAGGAGGGTGGACCATACTGACTTATTGTGTGGTTATGAACATTTTGCTATCATTTCTAAAATTGCAACATTATGTTTTTTTGTATTGCAGAGGGATGCAGAAGTGGATGATGCAATAGCAGGATTTGTCCAGCCCCAGATTTTAATTGTCAGAGATATCTTTGACATAGATATAATTTACATTGTGGCAGAGGGAGGAATTATTTGCCAACTCCCCCAGAAATCGATTTTAGATGCTCTGCTTGGATTGCTTGGGAGTTTTTACATTTTTAATGTCTCATATAATCAAAGCAAAGCCATCCTAACTTTCCTGGAGCAGGCTTTGCTGGAAATTGGACGGGGGCAGACCCTTGTCACTGTTTCATTCTTTTTTAATGACTTGGCAAGTGCCTGAGTTCTTCAACTAGTACCTTAATCTTTGTTATTTTCATTCTATGGAATCCTGTGTTGCATGGTATTTCGGTACATGTAGATCTCTTTATTTGTTTGTTTGTTTGTTTTTTTTTAAGGTAAAATTCAAACACTTAAAACAAACTTAACATAAGCAGAAACCTTTTATTGCCTCTTTATTACCATTTTTTTGATAGTTTGTTTTGCTAAACATATTGTCCATGCTGTAAAAAGCAATAAATAAGGTACTTACCAAGTCATTAAAAACTGGCACTAGCATCAGAAGCTTGAGCATTGTTATAGCTAAAGCATTGTATAGTTCATGATTGCTCTTACAACTCATTTGCTTCAATCTAGTAAGATCAGTACATTGTCGGAGTTGTAGGCAGGAGAACGGGTTGCCACAGTCAGGGAATTTTTAACTTTCTGATGAGTGGCAACCCTGAATTCTGACAATCTTTTTTTTTGTCAAAAGGGGATTTGCAATAGAAACCTTAATTGACTCCAATCCTGGTGAGCTTCAACTAATGAAACCCTTTACAAGTCCAATTGTTGATTTTCACTTTAGGTTTTAAGTGCTCTTATGATGCTGATTATGATTTTGACTTTGTCGCATTAGTGAACACCGTTTTAAGAAGTAGTTACTTTGATAGCACCCAAGACAAGTGTCTCTCTTGGCCAATTTAATTCCTCCAGTAATTGTAATTGTTCAGTCTAGAAAAGTTGAGATTAACCGAAGATAGTGTTACATAAATAGGTTGGAATACGCGTTAACTGATGTACAGATCACAGTACACTTATTGACAACTGAATAAATGTTTGAAATAAGCCTTAGTTTTCTTTCATTATTTGCCAATACCTCATTAAGGGAAGAAATCTGTAGGCCCCCACCCAAATTAAAAAAACCATAATGGCCCGATATGGGGCTGAATCGGCTACTTTTCGAGGGGTCGTTTTTAAGAGGGCCAAAATTTGAGGGGCTGTTTTGGCTCCTGGAAAATCCAAAGTGGCCCTAGTGTTTTCCATATTGGCCCTTTACATGGTCTAATTTGGCCCCGATGCAAGGGCCAAATTAGCCCCAAATTTTGGTACCAAAACAGCCCCATCTCAATAGGGCTGAATTGGCCCCAAAAACAGTACCGTTCTGGACTCACCCGTTTCGGCCCCATTTTTGGGGCCGAATTGGCTCTTTTCATTTTACAGTGTGGGGCATGAAAAAGGTACCCTTTTCGAGCTGAGCCTCCCCGCGTTGGTCTTTAAAGGGACTAATTAACCCCCAGGCCAGACAGACGATACGCGATACATAGAGGATATTACACGGTGGCGCGAAGATATGAATTTTATTTTCGAGTGGCAAAACAATATTGTTTTTGCCACGAGAAAATATAATTCACATCTTCAAGCCGCCGTGTAATGTTCTTTTTATTACATAGACAAAAAGACATCGATAAAATAATAGATTTTTACTCGCCAAAAAGTAATTGTGACGGCTCAAATTTACAGTACAGCAATATAATACAGTACAATAATCTTGAGAAATAGCACTGAGCTGAATAAAGCTCTACAATGACAAAATATAAGCAAAGCTTTGAAAAATGTGTAATTTAAATTCAAAGGACGCAAGACGCCTACAAATTTTGGAGGGAAATTACCGAAATTACGTCATCGATAAACTCACGTGTTAGATTATGGAAAATAAACCACTCGGGTCCAGGATGTAGTTTTTATGAATTTTACGAGTGGTATATTTTCTATAGTTAAACACTCGTGTCTATATAATAAAAAGGAATTAGGCAATGGACCTTTGTCACGCGGCAGCCAGTTTGTTTCAGGAGATTTTATTAGAAAAAGCTTTGTTTATGCAAGGCTAGCCTCGTTCTCTCTACAAGACTACCTGTGCATAAACAAAGCTTTTTAAATCTCCTTAGACAAAATGGCTGCCGCGTGACATAAATCTATTTTGGCGTTTTGAACGTCTTGGTTCACCACAAACATTTTTGTTATCTGTGCATCAGAGAAATACAGTGAAATCTGTATTAATGCAGTTGTAGCTACCTGTATATTTAGGATACCTTCTCCAAAGTTTAAACCATCCCTGAACGTGTAAATTAACTCGGTTCGTAGCGGAGCTCTAGGCGCTCGCGAAGCGCGCGCTTGCGGAGCGCCATAGCTAAGTACAGTCAAACCTCTTTGATACGACACCAAAGGGACAGAACCGATCGTCCGCTTTACAGAGGTGTCCGTATTATAGAGGTAGGGAATGTATGATTTTTGGCATTTCTGGGACCAAACGAACTGTCCGTTATAGAGAGTTGTCCGTATTATAGAGGTGTCCGTAAGGAGAGGTTAGACTGTAAATCGACCCATCCTAGAAAATTTGATAATCACGTGACCGTACACCGCCCGATCGAGCAGCCGACCGTCTGTCCGCACCACAGGCATACCAATGTAAAATAAGTCAATTAAGGCAGGAAATCGCATAGCCACCCGAGTCTTGTAAAGCAGAGACAACTAAAGAGTCAATAAAGACGAAAACAGAAAGCAGAAATCGTTTCTGTATCCGTGTTGTCTGAAGTATTGTAATACTTCTCCAAATTTTTGGACATGACAATTAATCTGAGCTTAAAAGCTTAGATTCATTGAATTGTCATTCCCAAAAAATTGGAAAATAGAGCAAGAGAAAGACAGAGAAAATGAGGAAGTAGGCGGCATGCCAGCGAAGCTCAACGAGAAAAAGGGCGACAGAGATCTAGAGCGAGAGATAAACAACAGAGGAGACATTTTTTCTGTTACAAGAACAACATGACAATTTTGTAGCTGCGGTGAGAAAATAAGAAATGCTAGCGGCCACCAATGCAAGGTGAAAATGAGCGGCAGTGAAAAAAAAGGTGAGCGAGAACACGTGCGACATTTCCTCCATAAAAAGTGTAACTAAGAAGTTTCTGGAAGTTTCACGTTGTAGTCGTGCAAAACAACGGCAAAGAAATGTACAAAAAAAGAGTGCTGCACGTGCAAAGTTACTTTTTTGCTAATTAGACCTATTGTTGTTTTTCACCGTTCTCCGGCGTTGCCTTCGCAGCTTAGCATTACACGAGTTTATATATTTTTTGAACAAACTATAAATATGAAAAATTAAAAACAAGATATACATGTAAAATGTAGCAACGCCGGAGTTTCTCAACCTTGCGGCATTTGCCATGTCTCCATTCTGTGCTACCTGGTCAGGTACTTGCAGTCGGAGCGCGAATCTGGTTTGTGTGGTGTCTTACGGCTGCGTATATCCACAGGTAACCCAGGCTCTGTGATGGTACCACAGTACGGTTCCATTAAAATTACAGTGTTTGTATGGGGTAAAAATATCATCCTAAAATTTCTAGGAAATACTAAATAAAGATCAATAAAACTTACTCTGCAGTTAATTGTTGTTGTCCTTATTGCTCCAACGAAGTTTCGTGATATTTTGCAGTAATTTGTTTAAATTCACTCTATCTGCAATAATAATATACAAGGTAGGAAACACGAGGTGCCATTTTCGCCGACATGTTCTCATTCAACACAACTTTTTCCACGAAATTCGAACTCCAACGGAAAATAAACATGCCAGGATCGTAGAAATAGGATAGCAGCAGATATAGAAACCAATGAAGCTTTCCCAGATAGAGAAACGAATCCCACAGACTTTGACAAACTCAAAGAATATAATCCAAACAGACCGAGAATATGCTCGCCGAAGCAGCCGGGCCAGATCAACACGCGGCCAAGAAAATGAGGCCTGGGCACTGTACAAAAAAATTCCATCCCGGGGGTCCTGGGGTGACCTTTCTAGGAACCGATACATCATTTGCCCAAAGCCACCCTCCCCTGCTGGAAAAATACTTGATAGAAGGCAATTGTTCTTCCTAGCCAATCACTATTTGCCAGAGCAAACCCCGCACACGTGCCTAAATTTAAATGGCTAAAAAAAAATTAATATAATCAGGAGAGTCTGCGGAGTTACAAGGCGCCCCATTTCTTTTACTAAGGAATGCAAATAACAGTAATGAAACTAATGAAATAACAACGAGAAATACTTACAAGGCGGGCTAAAAACAAGGTTGAACAAAAGGTAGATGAGTGAGATACTGTTGCTGTGAACTCTCGAGCGAAACTAGATAAACGGTGAAGCTTACAAACTAATGTCAAAAATTATTCAGAAAATTGCGACAGAATATAAATTGCGATAACTGAGACGAATGTGAAAGGCACGTGCACCAGTAAACAAAGAACTAGCGCGATTAAGATATTTAGCAATTAATGCGGCAGTAACACGCCAACTTCTTGTCAATACAAGTCAACGCTCTATCGGTTAAATATGTGAATCATCGTGATACACCTCTCTTTGAATTTGGTCCTGTTGTACAAATGCCTCGGTAAGAGCCAAAATTCACTTAGATCTTTTGGTCGTTTTAAGTTTTGTAAATCCTCCTTTGTTGTTCTTTCCTTTGCCCTTATAACCTTGCCCTATTGATGTTTGATAAACTTTCTGAGGACCAGCGCCAGGCGCTGAATATAGTTCGAGAGGGACATAATCTCTTTATAACAGGCCAGGGTGGTACGGCTAGGAAGAACAATTGCCTTCGATTAAGTATTTTTTCAGCAGGGTAGGGTGTCTTTGGGCAAATGATGTATCGGTGCCCAGAAAGGTCACCTCAGGACTCCCGGGATGATTTTTTTTGTACAGTGCCCAGGCCTCATTTTCTTGGCCGCGCGTTGATCTGGCCCGGCTGCTTCGGCGAGCATATTCTCGGTCTGTTTGGATTATATTCTTTGAGTTTGTCAAAGTCTGTGGGATTCGTTTCTCTATCTGGGAAAGCTTCAGTGGTTTCCATATCTGCTGCTATCCTATTTCTACGATCCTGGCATGTTTATTTTCCGTTGGAGTTCGAATTTCGTGGAAAAAGTTGTGTTGAATGAGAACATGTCGGCGAAAATGGCACCTCGTGTTTCCTACCTTGTATATTATTA